ACATTGTAAGGTAAACTTGTGTTAACATATGTATACAATTTTTTTCTTTTCTTGCATAATGGTATTACAGCTTCTGTTAACTCTAACAATATTTATTACAAAATGTTGTCTTTAATTTTTATGTTAATGTTTCATTCCATCTTTGCCTTCTGGAGAGGAGAAAAGTGTTTTCCTTAGTGACCAAGACCACATGGAATAATTGCTCTGACATTTAAACAGTTATTTCACTTTCACATTGCTGATGCCCTTTAAACAAAACAGCTGATTATGAATTTCAATGTTTTCCATCAGTCAAGCTCTGTTATATATATTGCCCTAAGTTCCAAATGTGTAGTCAATTCACTGAAACAGATCCCACTATGCTTAATGTACCCTATCAGATTCTTTTTTCTCGGCAAACCAAAGTCTTATTGCTTTAAGATTATTTTTAACTAAATCCTCTACTAATGGCTTTCGGGCAGCACAATGTCAGTGAACACCTCATGAATGTTAGTTGGCAGAGATTGCAAAGGGCTTACAATTTGACAGCATTGCTCTGTCTTCTATCTATAAAAAGATTACTTATGAATGCTGCATCTGATCCATTACAACATTTCAAGGAATGTTCTAGGCATCAGTAGCTAGTGGTCCTAATGATTGTGGGGAAAGTCAGAAAATCCAAACATGAAAAATGGGGGTACATGGAGCCCCTGCTAGCAATTTAGAGTAGGCACGGTTTCAAGCATCTCTGCAGTTGTCCAAAGGTGAAACAACTAATTGAAACCCTTCTAGCATAACAATACTGCAAGCTCATTTTCCAAACACAGTGTAACATGTTGCAGATTTAGCTCCCAGAGAGAATAATAATGGTAGGGAAGGGGAAATTGAGGGCATGGAGGGAAAGGAGGAATTGGCACAGGGGAGAGGAGATTTAGTATTGGTGATCCTCCTATAGAATTAGAGCAGACAGAGTGGAGGAAGCTAAGAATGGAGGAGGAGATGGAGCCCCTGGCATGAAGAGAAAGGTAATGCACACAGAGCCAGGGGGACCTTGGTATGGGTAGAGAATAGGGAACACATTGAATCCCTGGTGGGGGGGAGAGGAGGATAGTGGTGAGTATGGTGGGGGAAGGGATCACCCAAGGCTCCTGGCAAAGAGGAGACAATCAGAGCCCCTGTGATTGAAGGATAGAAAGGGAGAATGGCGGGTTCTGGGGGGTTGAGCACACAGAGCCACTAAATAGCTAGAAGAGTGGAGGACTCTGGTCTGGGAACAGAAAGGAATGGGAGGAACTCCTAGCAGGGGGGAGATTGGGGAAAGTGGAATGGAATCCCTGAAATAGAGGGGAGAAAGGAAAGGTGGCACAGAAAGAATGTGTGTGGGGGGAATGGAAGAACGCAAGAAGCTGTTATGTGCAACAAAAGAAAACTCTGAAATGGGTAACCCCCAAATTTAATAAAGGTAACTAATTAAAATGCATCTCTGATTTACCTTTCATGACATGTTTTCAGACGCATAAGTCATGCAAAGTGATAAGAGTGTCAAAATTAAGAAACTTCTTTTTTAAAACTTTTTTTTAATCTCTGAGAAGTTGGTTAATTTATAGACAGAGATGTGACTTCTTTTCTTTTCTTTTCTTTTCTTTTCTTTTCTTTTCTTTTCTTTCTCATCAAAAGATACTTTAAAATATCTATTTCTAATGGCTTCCCAGCCAGCCATCTAGACTGCATTCTGTCTAGTGAGCATTCCCTAGATATAAACACATTTGTAATAGATGCTTAGACAATACTACTAACTTCAGATAGCAAGATGATACATGCATACAAATAGGTTAATCATATTCGTCAAATCATTACTTTTCCAGCGATCTTACATGACTTATCTTGCATAAAATAGATCATGGTTATGCTACAATAATACAGTAATAATCTTGATATGAACAATATGGGAACAATATGAGACACAATACCACACTCAGAGCTTTAGTTTTCTGAGTACCTGACTTTTCAGTTCCTCAGTACCAGCAATATTGTGGATTCAGATGATCTCATAATGACTTTGACTTAAATGTGAAGAGACATAGGAATTTTCCTAGGTAAGTCACAATGCCTAAGAATCCATGTCCTTCACTGACACTCTGAGGCATGTTCATCTGAATAGTCTCTTATTCTTTGTCTGGATCTGGTCTGACCCTCACTACATCAGGACTAGAAACATGATTCTGTCTTTGAATATTTCACAAGTATCATGAAGTGTTAGCCTGCTTTCTCCAGTCTTCTCAAGACTTGAGAGAGATGTTGGTTTTGTTTGGTTTGAGCTATATGTAGATAAGGGTATCACTGTAACACAGAGACTCACCTGTGCCAATTGGCAAAGGGCTCACTGTTGTGCAACAGCACAACCCAGCAGGCTTCAAAAACTAAATACATACCATATAATTTTCATTGTATTTATCTATAAATGATACTATTTTAGGTCCTGAGCCTCATAAGCATTGTGAGATATAAAGATGGATGATATTTACATAGTTGAGTATATATACTGAAACACATGTTCATATTTAAGTCCAAGGCAGAGCTGAAAAACAGGTTTTGGATCACACAAAGGATTTCTCTGTTGGCCATGTAGATTAAGCATTGTAAAGTAACACAATGGAAACCCCATTTACATATGGAGTCAATAGGAAAGGAGTATGTAGGGGAAGCAATTAGGGTGATTCTGGCCGTCTCCAAGGACAAATGAACTTTGGAGAATATACAGGGAAGGAAAAATTAGCTCTTTATCTTGAACCTGTCAAAGTAATTGGGCCACATATTTAAATTAACTGAAAACAGGACTTTAACCCAGGGCTTGGTGACAATGCTGAAAAAACCTTTGGGGTGAGAGAAACTTATTTAGATGAAAGATTAGTGTAAGTAAAGTTTAGACCATTTTTGTTTCCATTATTATCTATACTCATTTGTTTAGCCTGCACCAATACATTTATGATTGTTTTCTCTATATATACAATCTCAGGTTTGTGATGTTATACTGGAGTTCATTCTCAGTTGAATCAGACTAAGACAGGTGTGTGCACCGTTCCTGCAAGAACAGCTTACCTGATCGTTTCTGTGACTGTTCAGTGATAAGGGTGGAGGGAACACTTTTAGCAGCGCTTGGGGCTGAAGTGTGCCTATTAATAACCTGCAAGGCAAAGTAAAAGCTCACAAAGCTAGCAGACTGGTGGAGTCAAGGAGATTGTAGTTAAGTACAATCCAGTCTAATTCTTGCTGATGTAAGGAATAGGGATACCAGGTGTCCGGTTTTGAAGCGGACAGTCCAGTAGTGGAGCTTTCTGTTTGGGAAACAAATTGAGAAAATATAAATGAGAAAATATAAATGTCCAGTATTTTCTAAATAAGATGTAATGTAGATTGTAATGTAATGTCAAGTGTGTCCGATATTTTTGTTGAAACCATCTGGCAACCCTAGTAAGGAAGTAACAAGTCTTGGGCACCTGGGAAAGTATTACAAGCATAGAATCATTGAATCATAGAATACTAGGACTGGAAGAGACCCTGAGAAGTCATCAAGTCCAGTCCCCTGCCCTCATGGCAGGACCCAGTACTGTCTAGACCATTCCTGATAGACATTTACCTAACCTGCTCTTAAATATCTCCAGAGATGGAGATTCCACAACCTCCCTAGGCAATTTATTTCAGTGTTTAACCACCCTGACAGTAAGGAAGTTTTTCCTAATGTCCAACCTAAACCTCCCTTGTTGCAGTTTAAGCCCATTGCTTCTTGTTCTATCCTCAGAGGCCAAGATGAACAAGTTTTCTCCCTCTTCCTTATGACACCCTTTTAGATACCTGAAAACTGCTATCATTTCCCCTCTCAATCTTCTCTTTTCCAAACTAAACAAACCCAATTCTTTCAGTCTTCCTTCATAGGTCATGTTCTCTAGACCTTCAATCATTCTTGTTGCTCTTCTCTGGACCCTCTCCAATTTCTCCACATCTTTCTTGAAATGCGATGCCCAGAACTGGACACAATACTCCAACTGAGGCCTAATCAGCACAGAGTAGAGTGGAAGAATAACTTCTCGTGTCTTGCTCACAACACTCCTATTAATGCATCTTGGAGTAGTGACATTTTCTCTAGAAGTGTTCATGAACAGATAATGGTCAGTTGAAACAAATCCTGAAAGCTGTTGGTAGTGCAGATTCTGCCACAATTGTTATTTGCCAGAATCCAGGCTTGGCATCCAACTTTGAGAAGACTTTATTACTAAGTTGTCCATGGGCGTGTTCAATATGTGACAATACCTGTCACTCTCTACAAACATTTTAATTGAGTTTGAGAAGGTCTGGACCAAGGGTATTCAACTTTGGAAGCTCTGGGGGCCACGATGACACTCACAGCACTTGCTGAGGGCTGCAACTTAAGTGTTGTTGCATATACATGCACATATATGCAAATAGCTTCTTTCACACTGATAGGCATGAATAAAAGATTAAGCCTTAAGCTGCGGTGCTGGACCCAAACATGACCAGTGTGAGCCAGTCAGCACCTCTAAGGCTCTGCCCACAAGGCTAAGCAGCCAGAACTTCACACAATGCCCCAGTGCTCCCTGGGGGCTAGAAATACTGACACCCCGTACCTGTCTTGTCCGGCCAGCCCGTCCACTTCTGTCTTTCAATGGCACCTCATCGTTGTGGAGCATGTTCCCAGTGGAGGCCATGTTCAAAGGATCCCACCCGCGGGCCGTGTGTTGAGCCCCTCATGAACCCAAACTACACTGTGGGCAGCAAACAAACGGGCTGCAGGCCCCCGGGCTGTGTGTTGAGTAGCTCTGGTCTACACAGATTTGAAGCGTGTCATTTGGTTTTAGGACCACTTCTGTACCATGCTTGTTTTCTATTCTGGAAATTACACCCATCTGCTCTATGCAACTAAGCTCTCCTTTTACTCAGGGTGGCAAAGGGAGGGAGGCTCCTCTAAGTGTAGACAAAGGAAATTGCTTTTCATTTGGTATCAGTTTAATACAGCATTCTTCTAATTTCCCCAGTCTTTGGATTAATTTGGAGAACTCCTTCCTGACCCTAAGGTCCTAATCCATGGTGACTGTTCTAGCTCTATATGAAGACACAGGGAATTGGCTGCTGGATTGTCAAGCAGAGCAGCATATAGGCTATCTACAATGTAGGCCTTTTGGGGCCGTCTTCTCTCTAAGTTTTAAAATGGTTCAAAATGTTCCTTTCCCATTTACTGGCAACTGCCCTGGGCATTTCAATATATTTTTTGGTTTCTGAAGTGTTGCTTTCATTCACCTATAAACTGATTCTCTAATCAATGTCACTTCAGTGTCTGTGTCTATTTTAAAGCCTATTTTATGCCATCCCACAGGGATCATGGTGATCCATGGTCTGCCATGTTTTCAGTCATTTCCTATGCCTCCAAGGTATACAATTTCAGTACCGTTTGGATTTTATTTTTGAAAAATGGTTGCTACAGTGTATTTACATTGTCAGATTATATACTGTCCCTTTTGTACACATTCCATGGATATGTTGGGCAAAGTCACTTGCTGTGAGATGTTTTGCCATACCATGGGAATTCTTCCATATTGTTCTTGTATTTCCTTTCTTTTCAGTGTTATCATAGCCATCTCTAAATCACTTTGTACTTGTCTTGGTCTATGTGGACATCTGGAGATATTTTCTTCTCCTTGTCTCTGGCTTTTACAGCAGACTCCTCATCAGAGTTATTCCTGGAAACAGTCTGTGTCTTCTTTATGGAAGACTATATTTTTGGCTGTCTCTGGTGTGAAGTTAGCATCCTTTTGGAGTCTGATAGTTGGCTTCCCTCAGCCCTACAACACACTTTCCAACATTTCTAATGGCTAAACCAGAACAAGAGCTCCCTGATAAGTGTGGAAAGCTCATAAGGAAGTCCTTTCAATTTTAACAATGAACAAGCAAGCTTTTAAAAGTGTTTGCTGTTGAAAGCACAGCACTCCACACCTCTATAATGAGAGTAGGGGCTGTGTTGTGGAAAAGAACACTTACACAATGGGGGAGCAGTGTCTTGGGAAAGACTCTGAAAAGGATTTAACGATCATAGTGAACAAGCATCTGAATATGGCTCTCAGTGCAGTGCAGTGGCAAAAAGGATTAATGAGTTACATGAATGTATAAACAACAGAGTAATAAGAAGGTTTGGGATGCAGTTTTACCTCTTTATATTGCAGTGGTGAGACAAATACTGCACACAGTTATGGAGCCCAAATTTTAAGAAGGATATTAAAGGAAAGGTTATAGAAAAGAGTCACAAGAATTTTCCTGGGGGATGGAAAACAGCCTTATCATGAGAGACTTAAAGAGATCAATATGTTTAGCTTATTGAAAAAAAGATTGAGCTTTAACTTTAAAACAGCCTGTAACCTACACAAGAACAAAACACTAGGTGGCATATGGGTGTTTAATCTATGGGGAAAAGGTATAATAAGAAGTTGAAGCCACATGAATTCAAATTAGAAATTAGTCACAACATTTTAATAGAAATTACATCATTATTGAATGCCCTTCTAAAAGTTATATTTTAATGACACATAATTTATTGGGCTAACTGGGTGAAACTTGATGTTCTTTTCAGACCGGATGATCAGATGGTTCCTTCTGGCCCTATACTCCATGAAACCTGTGAAACTTTGGCAGTGGTCCATTGTTACAAATTCAAAGTTGCTTTCTTTAGCCAATCCAATTCAAAAACCATATTTTTTAGGAAAATGTAATGTTTTACAAAGTACTTGGAACAAGCAAATTTCCACAAAATAAAATTTAGTAATTTACAATAAATAAATTTACAATAAATGTGTTACTGATTTTTTTTTAAAAAATAGAATAGGGTAGGGACCTCAACAGATCATCAAGTCCAATCCCCTGCCCTCATGGCAGAACCAAACATGTCTGGATAATCCCTGATAGGTGTCTATCCAACCTGCACTTAAATATCTCCAGAGATGGAGATTCAATAACCTCCCTAGACAATTTATTCCAGTGTTTAACCACCTGACAGTTAGGAAGT